TATTCCACTGATCCTCAGGTCTGTTTCTTTGCCAGTACCATGCTGTTTTTATCACAGTAGCTTTGTAGTATAGTTTCAAGTTGGGGATTGTGATATCCCCAGCCATGTCTCTGTTGCCCAGAATTGCTTTTGCTATTCTAGGTCTCTTATGGTTCTAAATGAATTTTTGGATTGTTTTCTCCGGTTCTGTGAAGTATATTGTTGGAATTTCAATTGGTAGCCTTTTAAAATAGTTTTGCTTTAAATGTCATTAAGAACAGATCTCTGTCTTAAGCTTTATTTTAAACAGATTTTGACATTGTTTTTATGTATTACAATTTTTAAAAATATTTTTGCAACAAACTACCTAGAAACATTTTATTCAAAGGTTATACTGTTAACATATATGATCAATTTATAACAAACTTAAATTTTATAAAATTATGCCACTTGATCATTAGTTTTTTAAAATTGTTATTAAATCATATTTGTGTCTCAAACTGTCATATATTGATTGTAAGCACTGTATATCTAAAACAGAACACATGTGTAACAAATTTCATGTTGGAAATAACCCAAATCATTGCTTTTGAACCTTTGTTTTAGTGAAAACAGAGAGATTTAAAAATAAAAACTCATTTTAAGTACTTAATTTAGACAAAGACTGGATAGACACTAAAATAATAGCACTTATTATAGAGAACCAAGCAAGCCTTTTACTATCTCTTAACATTATTAGCATTAGGCAGAATAAACAAACCCATTAACAGACTAGGTAACTTATAGCTGTTAACTCTTTATATCAAAAGATATTTTAAAACTTTAAAAACTGTTATTAGAATATAAAATAAATTGTGCTTGCATAAATAACTTAAAATGATGAACAGATATAATCCTTAATCACTTTGAGACTTATTTTTAAGCTCATTTTCACTAGTTGACCTGTAGATTGATAAAACTCTATTTTTAGATATTTGACCTTTTATTAGTGATGTATATCAGACATATATTAACAACCTATGAAATATATTTAATATTCCAATATATTATCATTTACAAATTTTACACAGAATATATGAATTTATATTTAACAAATGTCTTTAGTATTTTAACTTAATTGAAATAACTTAGAGCTTTTATTTATTTAATTTTTAACAATTACATTTATATTGTGTGTATAATGTAAAATATTTTACAAGTGCAGTATCTCAAAGCAAACTTGTTGAGAAAAAATTTAACAGTTGTCAATATCTCAAAATTCCCTTTGCATACAACAGAATAGTTTTTAAATTTTTTGAAGCTTTTGAACTTGAATCTTCATACTGACCCCAATGAATTATTTATAATCAAATTTTCATGTCACCAAAAGTAAACTGTTTTGCGTAATAAGGATGCTTATAAGTGAATCTACTTGGAAGACTATGAAAGAAACTTTATTAATTGTGGGCATTGAAAATGGAATAGCTCAGAAAATCTGGAAAGATCTAAGAACTGTAGGGAGAAATATTTATTTTGTACAATCATTTTAGAGTCGAGTGAGTTAATATCTATGTAAATGTGGACTCAGCTTTTTCAGGAAATTAGGAAAAAGTACAGCATGGCTGGACAGTGCTTATTTAGACACATGTTAGTGTATAAGACAAAATTGCCTGTTTTTTATATAGACTTACAAAGCTCTCAAATAGACTTTTATTAGATGTTTAATAAATAGAAACTT